GCCAGGCGTTGGTGGTACACACCTTTAATCCCAGCACTTGGGAGGCAGAGGCAGGCGGATCTCTGTGAGTTCGAGGCCAGCCTGGTCTCCAGAGCGAGTGCCAGGATAGGCTCCAAGGCTACACAGAGAAAGCCTGTCTCAAAAACAAACAAACAACAAAAGAAAAAAGAAAAAAAAAAAGAAATAGACAAGCATCCACATGGTAACTCCAGAAGTGAATAAACACCACTCAAATTGTCTCCAGCCAGAAACAACTCTTTATGTTTTCATTTATGTGCTTTATTTGGCATGTTGATTTTTCTCTCTCTCCCCCTCCATTGCCTCTTAGTTATATCTACATATCTATATGCATTATAAATCATTTGCTTCCTCTACAAATGAACACACACATGTCTAAATATGTGTTGGATACATGTTATTTATCTTGATTTCTTTTTTCCTTTTCATGGATCAGTAGGCATTTGGGATAGGCATCATTTTATACATGTTTTTGACAGTACTAGAAGTAGAACCCAGGCTATCATATATGTGAGGCAAGTGCTCTATCACTGAGATACAATTGTGGTCTTCTTTATGGCTATTTTTTAAAATATGATTTTAAATACTCTGCAATAATTTCTGATATTTTGTGCTTGTTTAAACACCTATATTTTGCAAATAGTGGATTGTCTCAGTTTCTTTTGCTTTAAGGAATGAAAATTTTGTTTCTTCATACCTCTTGGAGAAAATCTGATTATATTTTTGACTTATAGAAATGAAAACACTAATACAAAAGATATAATCTTTTACACCTGCTTTGGTGCGTTTGTGATATTGTCTTCTAGAATGGCTTGCACTGGACACCATGTGATATTACCTAATCCACTTTACTTTTGTTCATGCTAAATGTTGATATTTTCTAAAGGTCTTAACCAGTTTTTGATTAAATAGTATATCTGTTTTATACACTTACTGGCTTATTGTATTCTATGAAGCCCCTTTGTCTAATTTTACCCAATATTATCCACTTGTTACAAATATGAAACATTTAACTCAATTTACCTCTTATGTTGTATGTTTTCTCCCTCTGTATCTGTTGTTTATATCTTTTGTAGCACCTAAGCAAGTTGACTTTGTCCTAAAATACTACAATTAAATCTTGTTGATTTATCAACTCAACACAGTTTGTATTGATCTCTACAAGGAAGACTAACTGGACACAGGCATTTCATCTTTTCTCATTGTGTTTTCTCTCTTTGGGTGTTGAGCTTTTATTGCTTCTATTATTATTTATTATCACATTAAAAAGTTTTACAGATTTATTTCTCTAAATTCAATTAGACCTTTGAATTTTGCCACAGGTGGATTCTGAAAATTAAAAACAGGGGGGTGGTGGCACAGATAGAGTAAGATCTTCGGTTGGACAACCCAGTTGGGTGATGATAGCTCACAGTATTTCCTGAAGCTCTAGAAAGAAAGAGATCAGATGCTCCTGATGAGGAGAAAGTATGCAAGACCCTGACTTGACGCATGCTGCTTCATGTGTTGAAACAGCAACTGTATCCTATTACTGTTATCACGAACTCACTTCATTTATTTGTAAGAGAAAGCAATAAGTGCATTTGCACAGTGGACATAGCAATATTATGTACCAAAGTATTAAAGTTGGTGTTTGGTCCCAGAGCACATGAATGATTACACAGAATTGAATATTTGCTCCCTGAGTCTCACTTCCTGCAGACAGCCTGTTATATTAGTCTTGGTCTCTGATCGCTCAGCTTCTATATCAGCTGGGTCTGACTTAAGGGTTCATACATTCATTGACCTATAGAATTTTAGCAATTAGGCTTGGTTTCCAAGTCCTCTTTTTCTATTCCATTGCTTCATTTCCATGGCAGCCTGCTTGCTCCTTGGTTCATCTGAAGACAGTGAGTCTCAGCCAGAATGACCCTTGTTTCTCACGGCAACTTCTGTTTGTTCACTTGGGGCTGTATTTGCTATCTGTGGCTGTTTAACGGTTTGCTCCACAATGATTACCACAATAAGGAACTCATTAGACAGCACAGCCTCTGCAGGTCAGGTGTCTTAGCAAGGATTAGCTTGGCTGCCTCTGCTCACAAGTTTCTCACAAGCTGCTGAGCAGGTCTGTGGGCCTGCTGCTGTCTAAGTCATATAGCTGCTGGCTGGATCCCCTTCCTTATGACTGTGAGTTAGAGACCTCCCTCAGTTTCTATCCATCATGAGCCTCTGGATAGAGCAGTTCACAGCCAGCCTTCCCTCTGAGCAAACCAGCAAGAGATGGCAGCAAACCCAGCAAGACAACAAGAGAAGGCAGACGAGATGGAAGCCAGTGTCTTCCATGCATCACCTTGGAAGTACCATCCACCTCTTTTGCTACACTTCATAATAAATATGTTGTTTCCAGCCACTGAGTTTGTGATAAGCTTCTCACAATAGGAAAATGGTTCCGCAGGGTTCATTGCTAGGTACTCACATACTTTTCCTAGTTTGGGTCCTCATTATGTCTATAGTGAATGTCAGGACTGCCCTAAGATCTATGTTCTCTATGAGCCCAGCCTTCTTGAGGGTGGTGGCCAACTTTTCTACAGAGAGTGGATCATGGGCCTGGCTGTGATCTGGGGCTGTGGAGGAGGAGCCTAACTTCTTCGGGCTCTCCTTCTGATCCCATGTTAGCTTCTGTTCAGTGTTTGGTGCTTCTCTTGGCCAATAGTGGTTAGAGCCATCTCGTATTTTCATGTAGGGCTCTACACCTTTGAATTTCTCTCCTCCAGTTTCCCCACCAAATGAGTTCTTCTCAGTCTTTTTTTTTTTCACTGAAGTTCATAAAATACTTGGTCTGTTAACAGTGCGTTTTTAAACGTTGTTATAGTTTCATTCACTAAGAACAAACAAGTCTATTTTTTTTTCTATCGTCTCATTGGAACCCTGGAAAAGAATGCTGACCAGTGTCAGTGGATGACTCCACAGGGGCTGCTACTTCATCCCTTTAGAGCAGGGAGTCTCAACCCTCCTAAAGCTTAGATCTTTTAATACAGCTCCTCGTATTGTGGTGACTCCAACCATAAAATTATTTTTGTTGCAACTTCAGAACCTTTGCTTTGCTACTGTTATGAATTGTAATGTAAATATGTAATGTAAATCTGGCATACCTGATATGTGACCCCCCTCCAAGCGTGACCTATAGGTTGAAAACCTCTGCATTAGAGGAAGGAAGACTTATAAAAAGTCCTCCCCCTTCTTCTTTATTTCCACACTCTTATAGGTGCACATCCTTCTTTATAAGCTTAAGGGGCAAGTTCTTAGAGCAGATGACTTGAGATTGCTGTAAACTCTGAGCTCCTCACCAACACTCTAGCACATGTGATGTCAGTGCTAAGAGTGTCAGGTGACTCAGCTACAGTGTTACTTTAGCATGGCCCCAAGACTTCTTAATTCTAAGCAATACAATGCTATTTCAAAGTGGTTAGGGAAAGAATTTACTAGGGGAAATTACATGTGTCTCTGAACTCCAGGGTGTAATTCTACTCAGACGTTATAAAAGGCCACAGAACCCAGGTAGCGGCCACCTTTCTGTCTCAGACATTCTGCTTGTATTGTGTTTGCTTTTCTGAAACCTGCTTATGCTTTCCTTCTTCGGCAGATGTCCTGTGATTGCTTCCAGATGAGGTGGTTAGAAAAGGCTGTCCAACAATGGCAACCCGAGTTTCCAGGTCCCTATCATCTCACTTAAAGCACACAAAATAGGACTCCTTAAAGCACACATAGTAGGACTCCTGAAAGCACACAGTAAGATTCCTTACATCACACAGGGTAGGAATCCTCCTTAAAGCACACAGAGTAGGACTCTATGGATAAAACTTCTGTTTGGTATAGCTTGCATCAGGCATCTCTTTTAGTGTTTGCTCACCATGGTCATGAGGGAGGTTTTGTGATACAAGCATAGCTTCAGTGGCTCAAAGTGACAAAGAAAAGGCAGGCAGCCTGGAGATTTGGCGAAAGTCCCTAAGGAGTCTTGTGCCGTTTCTCTGCTGAGAGGCAGTTTGGCTTGTGTAATAACATGGACTCGGGTCAGACAGACTTTGATTTGGTCCTAACCCTGAGGTCAATATGCATTCTGAGAACCAATTCTTCCCCTGCTGATTGCTATCATAAACCCCACCTCTTGTATTGTAATGAGAAAATGTGTGATACATCCTATACACCAACAAGTAGTGCCCGTTATTAATTACAGTGTTATCATGCCATTTGGAAAAGGTTTCATGAAGAGAGGAACATGCATCTTACCACTCTAGCAGTGCAAGAGGATCCAATGCAAAATTCCAGGAGACTTGACATTGACTCATATTCCAGGAACCTCAATGCTGCATCGTCAGTAGAAACTTAAGATCAAGTGTTCTCTCTATCATGCTTAGCTGAAGAAATGGACATAGGTGAGGCTACTGAAAGCAGGGCCCAAAGAGTTTAACATTCCCTGTCATGTGTGTGACTTCTGACCATTTTCAGAACACAGTAGTGGATGGTCTGTACCCCACAGAGACTCCCACAGAACTCATGGTCTCTATGAGAGTCAAAACAGACCTTGTTCTCAGAGTTTGCTATATTCATTTTGGTTTGGTAGAAGGTCAATTTCACTGGTTATACTTTGAATACCATTCTTGAAGACTGATGGCATCAATTCAAAACATTTCAATCTCTTCCTTAAAGAATACATACACTTCCATATTAAAATCTTTCAGAATTCCTTTGCATTTTTCTCATAGTCATGTTAAAATTGTGGGTGGCAGCCAACCTTAAATGGATTCTTAGTTGGAGAATATGTAAAGTGATAAACACTGAAATTCTCTATTATCGAGATGGCCAGCTATATGATGTAGGCTAGTGTGTAAGGTAGAACTAGCCAAACAGCATGCCTGGGTCCCTTTTAAATGTGTGAGCACTGTGCTGTGTGAAACTGTGCTAGAGCAACACTCCAGTGACTAACTGTGTAATTTTCTCTTAAGTTACGCGGACATTTTGATTGAAAGGGAAGTGTTAATGCAGAAGTACATTCATCTAGTTCAGATCGTGGAGACAGAAAAAATTGCCGCTAACCAACTCCGACACCAGCTTGAAGATCAAGATACCGAAATTGAAAGGCTTAAATCAGAGGTATTTCTCAGTTGAAGATTCTGTCGCACTGTTTCCTGTCTTCTGTCACTTCCTTGTGATTATCTGTCCAATATTCAGGAGAAAAATTTAATCTCACGCTGAGTTCTTCTGCTATCAACAGATATATAGCTGGGCTGCTAATCTAGACATGAATCCATTGTCTGCTTCAGGGTTAGGTAAATGTGTTGCTAGGGCATACACCATGACAAACATGTTATCCTCTGTTGTTATTTGTGCCCCTGATGTCCTTCCTTAGATAAGAAGCACACTATATATGTATTTAATACTTATCGTATAGACTCTTGGGGTAACAACTGTGAGTCTGCCATGTAATGACTTAAAAGTTCAAAATGATAACCAAGGAAAGACCAGATAGGAATTCCAAAATACTTTACTTCTTACTCACCACCCCCACCCCCGCTGCAAAATTCTGAAAAGCATATTTGGGATAAACAAGAAGACACAGGTTGATCATGAGGCATTTCTGTCTCCCCATTGGCCTCTATTCCCTCAATGTGTACTTCTGGTGGACCTCAGGGTGGTGTTACTGTTACGGGGTGGAGTAGGTAGTTTTTGAGTCTATAGCCGTGGTGCCAGCCATGGTGCTTTGCCTGGGTCCTCCTTCTGACCCAGGTCTCAGTCTATGCAGAGACCTTTCCAGGCTGTCTATGGGAGTTCACAGAAAGTGGGAAGTAACTGAAGAATGGAGGAGGAATGGAGAGCCTAGCTTGTCCCCTGTGTTCTAAGCAGAGGTACACCAGTGTCTTTTAGATTAAAGGATATGGGTATGACAAGTGGTGTAAGGTATGTGGAATATGCCAAAGGCAGCAGTCATGGATCCTTGTTGGCAGGATCCTTAGCTTTGACAACTTTCTTGCCATTTTTACTGTGCAAACATTTCCTTTTCATTCTCTTACACCTCCCTGAGGCTCCCTGTGGCGCTGTCACCTCCTGCTCCCAGGTACACTGAGAGTATGCAGCTCAGCATATCTGGCTGGAGCATGGAGATGAGGACTCCTCTAGGGATGGTGAGTTGCCAAGTGTGTTCACGGTATCATTAGACTCGTCAGCTTCGTTTGTACAACCCTGATGGTTGACACAGTGAAAACAGCAGCAGAAAACTCAACAAACCTGCTTTTTAAAAGGCTATATCAGGCACTGTAATTTAAAACAAAATTATTGTGTTCTTTCTTTGCCCCGGTACACCACAGCAGATGCCTGCTTACTGGGTGAAGCAGGTTGGTATTTGCACACAAGAAGAACTCGGCAGCAAGCGGTGCTCCCAGTGTTTACTTTTGTGTGTTTATCTGTCTTCCTTATGCTCTGCTTTAGTCAGAATATAAATTGCAGTGAAAAGCTGCCAGTGGCAGGTTTTGTTGTTTTTGTGTTGTAGTCTTTTGTAGCCACTTACAGGAATTATTTCCTTTTCCATTACCTTCCTGTTTTCCAGGAGAAAACGAAAAGTGGAATATATTTGATTTTGGGTATAAGATCCAAAGACAGGTCACCGGTGGTGGGGGAGCAATCCTGATCTTCTGACTTTTCCATTTTGGCTTCTCAATAATTCTGTTTAAATTCTTGGGCTTGTATGAGCCACAATTGAGGCCAAACTTGAGAACTACATACTGCTGTGAAGGCAAGAGGCTACCTGATCTTAAATTCCCCTTTACAGGTAACGTGGGCCAGTTTGCGACTGTCCTCTTTGTTTCTTTGAAATAGCCCCTTCCACTGGCTCCAGTCCACCCCAAGACTCTGAGGTTGCCATGGTAGATACCATTTTCCCAAGGAGATGCATAAGGAATGTGGGATATGCACTTCAAGGACCACAGACTGATTTCTGAATGAAGGTTTCTGGATGTCTTCACAGATAGATCTCCTATAACATGGCTGTATATCACCGTTCCCCGAATCCTGAACTGGGCCTGTTTTGTGTTACAGATTGTTGCTCTTAATAAAACCAAGGAACGCATGCGCCCTTACCATAGCCATCAAGAGGATGAGGATCCAGACATCAAGAAGATTAAAAAGGTAACAGGTGGGAGGCTTCTGGGAGCATGGTGACCAGCTGTCTGCTCTGTGGTGGCGACTTTGTTATTGTATCCCTGAGTTGGGAACAGCCTTGGTGTTTCTGCTAATGGCTCCCAGACTGCTCCTTCCTTGGGATCCACACTGGTTTGGAAAATTTCAGCCTGAAATTTCTTTCCAGTTTCAGAACTTCCCTTTTTGGAAGAATGCTGCAAACACACATTGAGAGAGCAGTGGATTCCATGGGGTTAATGCAGGGTTGTTGACCCTCCTGATTTTGTCTTGTCCATCCATACTTGGGAAGAAATTATATTTCTATTTTAAATAATTATTCCCTGCTAGCTATTAAAAAAATCCTTAACTAAATGTTGCTCAGAATTTGGAACAGATTCTTTGGGCCGAGTTGAACACCTTCAACTTTCAAGAAATAAAAAAGTAAAATAAAGTTATTATTTTCCTAGCATTATAATCTTTCATTTGAACTTGTTTTATGGTACTGTGTTCTAAGACTAATGCTACTTCTCTTCTTTTAATAGTATGCAGTTGCATGTAAACAAGGATATTAATAATATGCAATTTTCAGCCAAATTGGACTGTTAGTAAATAAATGAGGCAGCTATTGTTCATCAGAGAACATCTGCCAAAGTGAACAGAAAGATTTTACTTAACATAAAGTTTAATTGTTTAGTTTTCTAAACCTACTTCTATTAATTAAGAGAACAGTAAAATGAAAAACATAACAGTTTTGAACCTTTGGAATTCTCTAAACAAGCAATTTTAAACCTATTTTAAAACTTGTTAATAGATTTCAAAATTAACTTTATTGGTTTTTTATGCCCCCAAATCAAATAAACATCTGTGGAAAGACTGTTTACAAATGAACCACTTATCTTCTCTAATCTTGGCAAAATGTAGCCTTTCAGCTTCAAGAGATCACAACTCAAAATTGCTTAAAATTCATGAAAAGTGTTCCTTAGAATTCTCAAAATAGTATGCATAAAATGTCTTCATACAATTCTATTGAAATGTGCTTAATTTCTATTGTTTGAGTGTAGCAATCTTAACAGCCATATGGAAACTGATGCTGTGGTGTCAAAATCAGAAGGCATGTGGCAACATCTTAAGTGTTGCAAAATTAAATGCACCATAATTTATATCATGTGGGTGAAAGATATTTAAAAGGGATGTTGAGTAGGTATTGGTTGTGTTAAGGGGATCAGGTAGGGAATTAAAGCTTTTACACATGTGTGAACCTGAAATATGCCCCCTGCTGAGTCTGTCATTTCTAAAGTGCCACATCCTAATTACTTATCTGGCAACTTTTATATTTAGAAAGGATTTTTTATTTTAGGGTCTATTCTGAGGAAGCAGGATTGGAGTTCAAGGTCACCCTGCTGGTTAGTGGCAGAGCCTTTGAGTGAAGGATTGTGATACACAGAGTTTTTCTCAGGGTTTCAGTTACCTGGGCATTTAAGAGATATTCAATGGGAATCAGTCTACCACAAGATCCACCAATTCCACTCCTAGGTATATACCCCAAAGAAGCACCTTCATACAACAAAGACATCTGTTCAACGATGTTCATAGCAGCACTATTTGTAATATCCAGAAACTGGAAGCAGCCTAGATGCCCCTCAATTGAAGAATGGATAGAGAAAATGTGGTACATTTACACAATGGAGTACTACTCAGCAGAAAAACAAAAAACAAAAAAACAAAAACAAAAACAAAAACAAAAACAAAAAAACAGTGGAATCTTGAAATTTGCAGGAAAATGGTTGGAACTCAAAGAAACCATTCTGAGCAAGGTAACCCAATCACAAAAATACAAAATGATATGTACTCACTCATATGTGGATTTTAGACATAGAGTAAGGGATTACCAGCCTACAATCCACACTGCCAGAGAAACTAGTAAACAAGGAGGACCCTAAAAGAGGAAAGATGCAGAGGTCATGAGGGAGCAGAAAGGTTGAGTCAGGTGTAGATTGGAAGAAAGGGTATATGATACATAGGGTTTTAGTTGGGGGGGGCGTTGGTAGGGGAGGAAGGGAGGGAGAAAGGAACTGGGATTGTCATGTAATTCAATCTTGTTTGTAATTCAAATAAAAAAATGAAAAAAATAAAAAAAATAAAAACAAAAAAATGATTGGGAAGCAGATTAAAATGAAAGCAACAAAAAGAGTGAGAATGAGTATGCCATGGAGAATTAAGAGCAATTAAAAACACTTATAAAAAAAAAAGAGATATTCAGCAAGTGTTTGTTGACCAGTCAAACCACATAGACTAGTGCGCTTTTCCAGATTTGCCACTTTCCCTATCATGCCAAGGAATTTCATACCCATCTTAAGAGCTATATGATGTTTCTATCAAAGAGAATTTATAGTAAATTATTCTTTTAAAAGTTATTCATCATTGCAATGACTTCCATATGTCTTCTCCATACGGCTGGCAAGAGGTTAAGGAAGGACTTGTGAAAGGACACTGGCTCTGCCTGCAGCTTTCCCAGCTATGTAGCTTATCTGAAACTCCGGATTGCTCATTTGGAGGAGTGATTGGATGAGCCAATTTCAACACTTATTTTTTAGGCTTAAATAAGCAAAGCAAAACAAAATGCAGCATCAATAAAAAATAAAATCAGCTGGTTCAAAATGGTCAAAGCACTTGAATAGAGCACTATTTAGATGTTTCATCAACGATCAGCAAGCACATGAAAATATCACCAATCATTGGAGAAAGTGCAAATCAAAACCTCTATAAGACAGAATCTCACACCCATTAGGACAGCTACTGTAAACAAAAATTGGAAGAAAACAACACATTTTGGCAAGGATATGGAGAAATTGGGACAAGTGTATGATGTGGTTTATAAAATGGTAAATAGACTTCAATGAAATTCAATACCACATTTTCCAGAATTCTATGCCTAGGTATATTTCAAAAGAAATGAGAACAAGATCTGGGTCTCGAGGAGATATTGGTGTAGCCATGTTCATAGCAATACAACTCAGAAATTTGTGAACCTCGGGAAAACTGTTTAAAATCATTTCCCCCCTGCTATTTGGTGAAAGCTTGCCATGGTTTATAGTACTAAAGAAAGCGTCAATGTACCATTCAAAGGGTGGTGTCTATACATGTATCATCCCATCTCCCAGACTCCTTCCCTGCCTTGTTCTGTAGGTTCAGAGCTTCATGCGAGGATGGCTGTGTCGGAGAAAGTGGAAGACCATCGTGCAGGACTACATTTGTTCTCCCCATGCTGAAAGCATGAGGAAGAGAAACCAGATTGTGTTCGCCATGGTGGAAGCTGAGTCAGAGTATGTGCACCAGCTCTACGTCCTAGTCAATGGTTTCCTCCGGCCCCTGAGGATGGCAGCTAGCTCCAAGAAGCCCCCCATTAGCCATGATGATGTCAGCAGCATTTTTCTCAACAGGTTTGTCTTTGCATAAATGAATAGTTTGGGAATAACTCACTGGCACCTCTTGCAAACATCCCTATTTTAGTCTGAAAAGATGAGGTCTCACAGATTCGTCTTTGTGGTTCTCATGTTAAGATTGAGGATTCGATCCTTGAATGGCATTGTTAGTCTGCATTTGCATTTCTCTTGAATCTTGACATCTCATTTTCTCAGTTTGCATCTCTGTTTGACATTTGCATTCTTGTTACTGTGTGGGGGTATGTATGTGTGGAAGATACTCTCTCTTACAAGCTGAAGGAGATGGCATGATTGATGGGTCTTTGTGTGCAATTTACACAGAAGCATTTTAGGAAGCATACAAACTAAGATGGCTCGAGAATTCTTGTTGAATTTATTTCTGCTGTAAGTATTTGCAGTGCCCTTTTTGCCAAAGATCAATTAATGGACAGAGCAGAAACCCCATTCCTTTGTGACATTTATATTTTGATGTGAGAACAGAAATGGACAGTGAATAAATATGCCGTGTATTATCCAGTGATCAATGCTGTGAAGAAAAATAAGACAAAGGAAGAAGTGGAGGGAGGAAAGTTTGAGTGTTTTATTTAAATTCTAGTTATTTATTTGTTTTTTGAGTAGGTAATATACTAACATGATTTAAAAGTCAAAACAGTGTCAGGGGTCACTTTGAAGTTGCTCTCTTACACTGTCTTCCTCAGGCAGTGCTGCTAGCATTTTGCAAACACAACCAAGCATGTGTGGATGACTATGTGGATAGGACTGTGAACTGGTCTCTCTGACAGTGGCCATCCAAGCATGTGACTTCCATAGGACAACTTGATCTAGATCACAAAAGACCAGGAGAACACTGTTTACATTTAAAATGTGAATGTTAGGCTTCTTGATTAGAGGCTAAGACCATAAGCTCTTCATACAACCCAGCAATTGTTTGCACACTAGTCCTAGATGGATAATTGAAAAGACATTTTAAATGGCTGGCCACAATACAGGCTGTTTGTTGTCGTGGTTGTTGTTCAACTAGATTCCCTTGTCTTTGAAATGGAGCCCAGGCAGGCCAATTATCTTGAATTTCAGCAGAGCTTATACTTAAGAAAATGTAATTTTCCTCAATGTGTATTACATTTGCTTCACCTGTTTTCTAACTTGGGTATCAAAATACAAAGGGGGAATACATCAGTCAGTTAGGTTTCAATGCAGGAAAGAGCAATCCCTCTCTTACTAGAGGAAATAGTTTGCTTAGATTTTTTGAGGGAGTTGGGGGAGTAAAATTCTCCTTAGAATGTTGGATTTAAGAGCATAGGATCATAAATGTGATACCAAAGCAGATTGGGAGCTTCCTGTCTCCTGACTTTGCGTTTCATCTTGGTTTCCTTTGGGTTTCTGAGGCTAAAATAGAAATTACTGTACGGAGGCAAGTACATAGTCCATGGTATTATGGAGAACATATTTTGGAGACCCTATGAGACT